GGTGGGCTGCACTGTCAGGGAAGACAGCTTTCTCATCTCTGATCCCGACAGAACAATTCCATCCACCCCTAAGTCCCATGGCCACCGGCTCAGCCTGAGTATAGGGGTGGACCATAGAGTGCTCCCCAACCTGGGGAGGGGGCTGCTCCTCTCCTTGGGGAACTTTCAGCTGCTGGGTCTTTATTTTCTGTACAACCAGTGGGCGTGTTTTGAATACAGGAGGTGCCAGTGCCTCCGGCACCACCCCTCCATCCTTCCCCAGCTCCTCCATTTCTGGGACTGATGGCACCTTTCTCTCCATTCCCCTGAGTGCCTCCTCTGCCACAGTGCCTTGCAACAATGCCAGCTCAGTCTTCAGAAGGTCTCTTACCTTCAGCTCAATGCTTCGCAGCTGATGTTCTCATGCCACCTCTGCCTGTGCTTCCCTCAGGAGTTCATCTTTTTCCTTGATGGCCTCTGCCTCCTTCAGAGCACTTGGCAGTGCTGCCATCTTGTCTCCAATGACACGTTGCTGTCGGTGCTCTCATGCTGCCTCCTTCCTCAGGGAATCCACAGAAGTTTGCAGCTCGTGCTCTCGTTCTGCCATTTCTTGGGTTTCTTCTGTAGACTTTTTTAATACTGTGAGAAGCAGCCAATCCACAGTCCCCACTGCCTCACGGGCACTCTGCTTCTCAAAGGATCTACTTATTACACCAAGGGCCACCCCTACTGCCTCAGGTGTCACCTCACTTGTCTCCAGTCCTGGGGTGGGGCCCAGTCCTCTAGAAGGCAAGCCACCTCAGACCACATACCCATTGGGGGATGATTGACTGTCTCCCCATTCACAGGGGGAGCCTGCTGAAGCACCCCTCCCATAAGGGCAGCCTGTCTTTTTCCTTGGTCAACAATGAACCCTGCCGACTTTCACCAATTGTCTTGCCAATGAGTTTCAGCTCCGGGCAAGTTCACTATGGATTCAGTGTGACCAAAGAAACTGACAGCGAAACGTTCTTGGGATGAAAGGCTTCTACCCAAGTTTAGTTCCAGGTGGCAGGTCAGTCAATAGAATCCCATTCACTCAGAGCAAGTCTGCAGGCAGAAAGCCGGTCTCTGCCTCTGGGCCCCTCTGTCTGCACAGTCGTCCAGCACAGCCATCCTCTGGGCCTCTGCTCTGCTCTCCTGCAGCCTTGCAGCCCTGCCACCGTGTTGTGCCCACAGCACTGGGTGGAGCTCTTTATATAGAGTCAAATTGCCCACAGGTGTGCAGTGAGCTAGTCAGCCAGGGTCAGGTGAGAATCCTGGCCACAGGAACTCTCATTTTATCCAGAAAATCAGACTCTAAATCTGAACACAGATGACCTACTTAACAGGGCATTGACAAATAATAGTAAGTGTCCTATTAAAGCCCTTTCCAGGAAGAAAGGGAAACAGAAATGCACAGTTACCACCATCTAGAGATGCTTTCCCCATTGCCTCTTAGAGTCATCTGAAACGCTGACCATCTGTTCCCAACCATTGGGAAGATAACCCTAATGACCACTTATTCCCTCCATTAATATCAGACTCAACTACTTGTCCTATAACATACTAAGACAAAATTCATATTTCCTTTTGTGTTTGCCTTTCTGTGTTTCCATGGAAGTCATGATAGTGAAGTATTTTAAATAACTAAATCATGAACAATATAGGCATAAATATGTGAATCAAACTGTAAAACTGTTTAGAAGTCTTATGAGTAAAACTAATGTACAAAAATGTAAATTCATGTCAAAATCATTTGCTCAATGTGACATTCATGTAGCTTCTCCTTCTGGACTATGTGTCTTAGCCAATGAAACTGGCTATATTATATGTCACATGGAAAATATCCAAGGTGGATGGCCTTCTAAGAAAGTGATATCTACCAGGAAATAACTGAGTTGTTGAATGATAACTCAAAAACTGAGAAAAGCCATTAATCAGGGATAGATTCAATTAAAAAATGGAAACATAACTATAAACTATAGTATCCACTGGTGCCAATCTATATTCTTCATTCTAATGCTTACTCATCCCATCTTTCAAACTTCAGAAGATGCTTTTTGTAAACTGTCCTAAGCCCATCTGTCACACAAAAGTCCAGGGTCCTTCAGCAGAAAACAGCAATTGCTGAAGAAGTTTGAGCACTGTAAACTCTCTCAAAAAGTCTGCTGCTAAATTATCATGAAAGAAGGTCTCAGAACAAATTTTGCCTAGAGACATTTATTAACTAAACATCTATTATCAAGCTAGTGCAAGATAAATTATACAATCCATTCTGGGCCTTAAGAAAGTCCAGCCTTAAAACTGGACAGCTACATGTAAGAGAATGAAACTGGATCACTGTCTAACCCCATACACAAAAGTAAACTCGAAATGGATCAAAGACCTGAATGTAAGTCATGAAACCATAAAACTTTTAGAAAAAAACATAGGCAAAAATCTCTTAGACATAAACATGAGTGACTTCTTTATGAACATATCTCCCAGGGCAAGGGAAACAAAAGCAAAAATGACCAAGTGGGACTATATCAAGCTGAAACGCTTCTGTACAGCAAAGGACACCATCAATAGAACAAAAAGAAACCCTACAGTATGGGAGAATATATTCATAAATGACAGATCCGATAAAGGGTTGACATCTAAAATATATAAAGAGCTCACTCATCTCAACAAACAAAAAGCAAAAAATCCAATTAAAAAATGGGCAGAGGAGCTCAACAGACAGTTCTCCAAAGAAGAAATTCAGATGGCCAACAGACACATGAAAAGATGCTCCACATCACTAGTCATCAGAGAAATGCAAACTGAAACCACAATGAGATATCACCTCACACAAGTAAGGATCACCACCATCCAAAAGACAAACAACAACAAATGTTGGTGAGGTTGTGGAGAAAGGGGAACCCTCCTACACTGCTGGTGGGAATGTAAATTAGTTCAACCATTGTGGAAAGCA